TGCTGCTTGGCCTGCTGTGTTCATCCAGCCCTGCACCTTGTTGTCTCGGATTCTCCAGCATCTGCAGTTCCTACTACCCCCGTCATGACATGGGTTGCTTTCAGCACAAGCAGCTTATTTTGAACTAATCATAGGCCCCATGATCATCTAACTAGCTTCTCTTCTTTCCTGACTTACTATCTCTCAGTCTGGGCTCCATCTCCATTTATCTGCTCACTTAACCCTCTTGCCCAACCCCTCCCCACCCCACCTCCCCTACCGCACTCACTGCAGATCTACGCCACCCCTGCCAACCACGTCATCATTAAAAATACCACATTTTCCAAGCTGCTTTCAGTCATGGAGGGTCACTAGACTCAAACCATTAACTGTTTTCTCTCCACAGATGCTGCCAGATCTGCCTGCAAAAATAGTAGACTCGCCCACTTTAAGGGCATTTAAATGGTCATTGGATAAACATATGGATGATAATGGAATAGTTTAGGTTAGATGGGCTTCAGATTGGTTTCACAGGTCGGCGCAACATCCTGTACTGCGCTGTAATGTTCTATGCTGAGTTGCTCCAGTAATTTCTGTTTTTGTTAGTTTCTTTATCATTGAATTTATTCAAAGTTGAGCTGTATTGTTTACTAGACAAAAGGAGTCAAGGGTTAAGAAGTGCTGACAGGAAAGTGGAATTGAGACCACAGCCATAATCTTCTTGAATGGCAGAACAGGCTCTAAGGGTCAAAAGCCCTACTGCAATTACTAAGTTCTTTACGTTCCTGTGTTTCTATGATCATATGCAGCTTCATGCTTTAAATGACGTGGAAAAGAGTGAGATAAACAGAGAAATGAAAGTTTGCTTACGTTGTTGAGATCACTCCTATAAGTTATAACTTCTTACCCTTAATCAGTCTTTCTGGCCTGGTTCCCGGCAGTGTCCACATAGCCTGGGCCAACTGACCAAAAACAGCAGCATCCACTGTAGAAGGCCTTGGGCCCATAATGTACTTCTTATCACCTGAAAACATCAGACCAGATCAATTTGGATTTGTTTTGTGTTTTTTTCTCCCATTTTCTCCCCTTTAACACCACCCTGCCTTCCCCCTAACTCCATCCTTTAATGCCTTTTCTTAGAAAGGTAGATAAAAACACATTGGCAAAATTAATCTCACTCCTGAACCAGTGACTGTAAAACATTTAAAATCAGTGCTGACTGAGTGTCTTATTTTAATATTCTCTCCTTCTACATTCTGTACCTTCAATCTTTGTCAGATTAACCTCAAAAATGCAAACAAAAATAAAACTTAGTCTGGACATTACCTTAAAATTACTACTATAAAAATAGAGTGAACAGTACATTTTTGATTACTATCATGTATACTAGGTATATCCATTCAATTATTATTCTCTCTCATATACATTTCATGTATACATTTCATTAATGTGGAATACTCTAAAAGAATAGCCTGCACTTTAACTTAAGGTAAAATAGAATCAGTATACTGTACTTTACTGCCCAATAATATCAGTGCATTATGTTGTAATACACATATCAGAAAACATTACATGACACTAGAATATTGTAATGTCATATCCAGTAAATTAAGCTACTTCTTGTCCAGTCGCACATTGTATTACACAGTAGTACTAGCATACCATGATGCATGAACTGTGACACTGTTATACTGGATTATTTTATGCAACTGGTGCTATTGAGTCTTAGCAAAGGGAGCTGCGAGACTAATACCCAGTATATACTGTAAGGTAGGCTAAAAGAGTTGACAGTCTATACTTTAGGGAAACACAATTTGGGGTGTTCCTATTGAGGTTTATAAAATATGATTTAGACTCAGTTAGAAAAAAGAATGGATTTGAATTATGTTATATGTTACGATTGGATATTCCCACTAGCCCCACTATAAGAAAACCCCATTGTGAAGATACCATTTAATTCGACCTCTCCCAGAATTTGGGATCAGGCAAATCATCAGCAACCAATTCTCTCGTAAGGCAAAGATACCACCACTTTCCCTATCATCATATTGTAACTTCAGGCTGCTGGAATTACAGCCTTATCTGGAGCCGATCCTCCCCCATAGGGAGCCACAACTGTTAATCAAGCTGCTTTCCTGGCATGGAATCCGCTAGAAATAAAGTAGGCTGTGAAGTCCAAGTTACTGAGTGTATATAAGACAGAGATAGATAGGTTTTTTACTAGTAAGGGGATCAAAGGTTACAGGGAGAAGGCAGGAGAATGGGGTTGAGAAACATAGCCATGATCAAATGGTGGCGCAAATTCGATGGGCTGAATGGTGTAATTCTGCTCCTGCGTGTTATGGTCTTATGGACCCACTGACCAAAGTTAGCTCCCCTAACTGAGGACTTCTGACAACCACGATAGGCTTCCTGACTTTGCATCTGCTCTACATGGCAAGACAAGACAGAAACACCTTAAGCCTGGTATATCTGGTTGATGGGCAAGGCAGGGATGCTGTGAGCATTCAGATCAGTAGTAAGGAAGCAAATAGCCCAGAAATGCAGTCTGCTCGAATTAATGAGCTGGGTGTGTGGCCCTGTGGGCAAAGTGTCCTTGCAGCAGCATTACAATAATGGTCGCCATTGCACGCCAGCATGCAGCCTTGGAATGCAGAAGTGTATTGCAAATGGATCAGAGATGTGCCATGAGAAATTACAGATATCGGGACATGTCGGATGCCAATGTCCATGAATGTGAGGTGTATATGGCTGGTACCCATGGAGAGTGCCCCGAGATGTTGCTGCCTGTTGTCCCACATGGCGATCCTTTGAAGGAAGCAGTGAGCTGGAATCTTCAGGTACCTGCTCTGATTTCCATGTCAGGAGCTCTAAGCATATAATTTGTTCACTGTGAGTGCTCATATAGAAAGCTGAATATGAATAATTATAAAATATAATTTTAATTTCCCCACCCACCCATTCCTAAGGTTTTTTTTTCCATTAAGACTGTTGTACGTTAAACCTTCATTCCTTTAGAAAGGCCTGACTTCCTAAGGAATGCACAAAGTAACCTGCTCAGCACCCTCTAATCAGGACAGAGATCTAGTGTGATAACTTGGACTCAGATAGGTCACTCAGTGATCATTCTAACATTCAAATTCCTGTGAAATGTAAATGGAATATGTAATCTACAGTTAATAAGGTTGTTAACAATCAATAATTCTCCTTTATAGGCAACTCACCGCTGACTTGCAAGAATCTCACACTGATGCCTGGAACTTAGTTAAAAGATGCAACAAGTTGATCTCAATGTTGAGAAAGGCCTCAATGGAATTCTTGTGTGATCCTACCAGATTTCTTACCATTGTCCATACTGTTCTGATCCCTACAAGATTCTGCTCTATTGTTCGATAATTCTAATTCCTTCTGTAGTTCCTATTACTAAGATTCATGTATAACATAAATTGAGGGAGAGGATCTGAAATGGGGTAAACTTTCTCTTAATGCAGAGTAATAAACAATGGAGGTGAGGGTTGCATTCAAATGAGTGTTAGGACTATGAAATATATAGCACATCACACTAAAATAAGCTTCCATCTCACCCAAAATCACAGAAAGTGATCGCATATCCTTCTCCATTAAGGTATATATTTCCTCCTTCGAGAAGCGACCAATACCTTGACCGTACATTTCCCGTTTAACAATTCCTCTTGTTAGCTGGCACAGTAACCATTTCAGGAAACCACTAAATGGACCTGACACAGACAGTATTTTTCTGGTCTCATGGAGGTTGTCAATCCACTGGCAGTATACTATGGCCCTGTAATATTAAAAAAAAACAACTGTGTAACATTCACAAACAGCCTTTTAGACCTTACTCTAATGCATGGATGTGACAAAATATACTCAGTAGTGAAGACAAGCACATCTCTTGTTCTCCTCCTACACTCCTCCTACATTCATCTACACCGGAAACAGGAATTTGGCAACACAGTAATAGTGGAGGTGGAAGGATCAAACAACAGATTTTGGTACATCAGCAGCTTCAGCAAGCAACTTCCCCCAGATCACAGATGGGGGGATTTAAACAAACAAATTTAGTTGGCAAATGAAATTGGCAAAACCTGTATACTTTCTTTTAAAACACGAAACTTTTCACTTTGAAACCCAAATGGGATTCTGATGATGTTTACACTATTTGAGATTTTACTCCAGGTAATTTTTAAGATACTTAGTAAATTTCCCAGGTTAATTTCTCTGTTCAGCATGTCGTGGGTTAAAATCAAATTTGAATGTGATAACAATGCATGATCCATGCAGCACTGCATTAATCTGGAGCTGAGCTGTTTGTGCACTGGCACAAGAGCCACAGTGATGCCTGATCATATGTCCAATATTAGTGTTTTTGATAGGAAAACAGGCTGTTACAGCCATAAAATAGCTATAAGGTTGAAATGACAAAATGGTAAAATCTCTCTCCAACTCCATCTATTAACTTTGTGATGTCTTTTAATATAATCTCCATTGGCCATAAATATACAGAAAAAGAAATGGTGACATGAAACGTAACAGTCAACTTCTCAGGCTCCAAACTCTAGGCAAATTCAGCATCCTGCTCATGACAGAGCTTTGCGATGAAGTATAAGCTGCCAGCTATGATTGAAAAATAAATGCATAAGCTTCAAATAATATCAACTGTGGCAAGACTAAAATCATGCAAAATCATTTTCAGTCCTTGTAATTTGAAATCTAGTGACTGACTTTAATTGAGCCAACCCTGCAAAAAAATCTATTGTATCGAATCAAATGGTTTATTTCTATTACTCTCAATGATTCTTACTTACCATGATCATCAGTGCTTTTCTCACAATTATTTGATTTTAATATTGACGCAGTACTTTTTGACTGCCATTAAGGGTTAAATTTGAAACTATGCAATATATAACAACATAAATACAACAAAAAGATTCCACATTTTTATCAGAGATAGTAAGAACTGCTGATGCTGGGGTCAGCAATAACACAGTGTGGAGCTGGAGGAGCACAGCAGGCCAGGCAGCATCAGAGGAGCAGGAAAGTAGGAAAAGTAGGAAAGGCCTTTTTCTGAAGAAGGGTCCCGACCCGAAACGTCAAACTTCCTACTCCTCTGATGCTGCCTGGCCAGCTGTGTTCCTCCAGCTCCACACTGTGTTATCTCCAAATTTTTATCATCCATTTTCACTGTTACCACAGGTGAAGACAGCACCCCTCAGCAATGAGTGCTTCCAACAGGTAAGACTTTTTTCTTTTTCCAGTAGCTAGGCAAATATTGATTGAACTGTGTTTTGTGATATTTATATCCCATGTGTTAACACATTTATAGGAAGACCATTCAGCCCATTAACCATTGATTATTAGACTTAATTATCACATTGGAATTTCCCCTCCCCAGCTATTTAAGCTCAAGTGAATGCATCAATATAACCTATTTTAACAAAATCGTTAATCTATTTAAAATTTAAAATTCAGATAACATTAAAGTAGCCCGCAAAGGAATAGTGCCTAAAACCAGGTAATAGAACTGAGAATTTTGACTTTTTTGATTGGAGAACTGAGTAATTTTCCTGAGTGTCAATTGTGTTTCTAGAAGTGTTTCATGTTCTCAGACTTTAAGCAAATAATGTTGAATAACTTCATATTTTAAATTGACTACTTTCATTTTTGTTGTCCAAACTGTTGTCAATTTTGTCATCTTAATCTACTAGTGATACAAAGTCAACAGTAAAGCCCCAGTCAATGGTGACACTAATGGTGCTTCTGAATGTCAGCGATCGACTGAATTTAAGATGAAGCTGACAACCAGATGGAATGCCAAAGATTTTGAAATGAGAACTGATTGAATTGCACTGTCTCATATATTTTGTGTGGTAACCAGTGGATTGTTTCATGCTCCTGGTTTTTACCTTCTGAAAGTTGTGATATACACAAATGTCAGCAAATTTGAAATTGTGGTAATAAAACCAGTGATGCTGGTAATTTGTCTTTCCATTACTTCAACCAAACTTTAGTTTATGAAAATAGAACAATTCAGAAGAAACTTTCTCAAAATAACATAGTATTTGCAGATGAAAATTATCTTTTCTCCTAGCCCCATTCCTCACCATCTCACTGTCTCACAGCATCTCTTGCTGCTGTTTCAAGAGTTGGAAGTCAGCTCTAGGTGGGTATCCTCACAATGTCTTTGCAGAATCAGACATTCGGTCCCACTGCAATGCTCTATCCCAAGGATGACAACTGGACCAAGTGGAAGGTGCTGAAGTGATGAATTATCAGAGTAGTTCCTGGCTGCAGACAAGGGAAATGCTAAACTCTTGCATTGCATTTTCACTGAGGTATAGTGGGAGAATGGGGACTGTTAGGTGTGAATGGAAAAAATGGGAAGATTCAAGTCAGTTTGAGAAATGATAAGCCAGCATAAACTGGGGAGGGAATAGGAAGAGGAGAATGCAAACATTAATTGGGAGAAGAATAGAATCAGGCATTTGTTGTAATAAACAGGGGGAGGGTATTGGAAGATGATAATGCCAAGAAAAAATACAGGTTGGGGAGGAAAATTATTAATGTACAGTTACTTTACCTGAAAAAAAAATTGTATGCATAGTCACATGGCAGTAGAAATATATCTGTGCAGCAAAATTGGTCAGCCACTTCCTGCTGTAGTTAGTATTCAGTGGGAGAGAAAATGGAAATCCTGGCAATGATGTTGCTGACAATCACTCACTAACATAGATATAGACAGAGAGAAACATTGAGGTCAGTGGTGGTTTTCCCTTCCACTCCAATCCTTTGACAATGGTACAGTGGCGCTGCCTTTTCAACACTCAGTTACGTGGTCATTTTTAAAAATTCATTCACAGGATGTTTGCTGGCTAGGCCAGATTTTATTGCCCATCCCTAGTTTCTCCTTAAGAAGTTGATGTTGAGCTACCTTCTTAACTGCTGCAGTCCATGTCCTGGAGTGACTTCATTACATGGAGTGCTTGGGACAAGGTGGGTCATCCACTCTGCAATTCTAGCTGAAGGTTATTGAGAATGTTTTAGTCTTATCTTTTGCACTGATGTACTATGTTCCCCCATCATCGATGATGTGGATATTTTTGGAGCCTTTTCCTCCAGTGAGTTGTTTAATCGTCCATCACCATTCATGACATTATGGTCATGCTGATTAGTGAATGTGCACATTTACCAGCATCAATGAAGGTGGGACATCTACTAAAATAAGGGAGAACCTACTATCCTCAACAAGTTGCTGAAGATGATAGCTGACAAGTCAAGAGAAGTGAATAATTTACCCTTCCCACTAGCTAACGTAAGGGTAGTTGCCTAAAAGTATCTCGTAGACCCTGTTCTCGCCAGATTTTTGTTGCTGTGGCATACAGTATTGGATTCAGCTTCCTTGTGGTGCGCAATTATTTTTCACTGTGATAAAAATTCACAATAAAAGATAATAAGAATGTACTAAAAAAGTACAACAAACATGTTAAACAACTTCAATGTGGTTATCCTACACTAATCCACATCAGCAATGCTTCGATTTAGCCCATCCTGCGATGACCCACATTCAAAGTGCTTTAATGTCGTTCATCCAGTTGTGACCAATGTTACCTACATTTGAATGTTGCTCATTCTGCACTGACCCACATTCATGACACTTGGAAGCCAGATTAAAACAATTGAAGTTCTTTTAAGAAAGCAAGTAGGAATGATAAAAAGGTTATTTGGTGCTTTTGGACCTTCATCATCTAAGTGCATAATGAAGACCAAATCAATTTCCTTATCATGTTTCTATCAGTTCTCTTTTAGTCAGGGATCTGTCCCATTATTGAAAAATTAATACAATTGATGCTGAGGACTAACTTGAAAGAGATAATTCATTTAGACACTGCACCCTTTTGACTGTGTTCCACTCCCAGCTTCGAGACAACAGGCTAGCTCCAGGTGGACAGTGGAAATGTTTCAATGATACCCACAAGGCCTCACTGGTGATGTGCAGCATTCCCACTGACACCAGGGGATCACTGACCTACGTCTGTCTAAAGTGGAGGAGGAGCATCCGGGAAGGCATTGAGCACCTCAAGACATGCCATCGGGTAAAAGTGGAAGCCAAACAAAAACAGCAAAAGGAGTGCACTGCCATACCAATGCCCCACTCACCCCTTCCTATGACCACCACCTGCTCCTAGTGTGTGATGTGGAGATGCCAGCATTGGAGTGGGGCAGACACGGTCAAAAAATCACACAACACCAGGTTATAGTCCAACAAGGTGGACTTCGAGATACACAACAACGCAAAATCGCTGAGCAGAGACTGATAGCCAAGTTCCATACCCAAGAGGACGGCCTCAATTGTGACCCTGGGTTCATGTTGCACTACAGGTTATCCCACCACACTATATACTTCCACACACACACACTCTTTCATGCACACATATACTCCCTCACACTCCCTCACACTCACACATGCACACACTCTGTCTCTTTCTCTCTCACTCTTTCTCACACACGCGCGCGCGCACACACACACACACACGGGCACATGCATGCACACACACACACATGCACATACACTGAGACACACACATGAATTATTTCCTCCAAGATGTTTGTGTAGTTGCAGATACATTCTGTTTTGCTCAGTTTAAAATATAAACAGATTCTAAGCGAGACCTCACACCTAAAATACATTGCCTGTGTATGTGCATGTGCATGTGTCCATATCTGTGTGTCTGTGTGCTCGTGTGTGTGTGTGTGTGTGTGTGTGTATGTGTGCGTGCCCGCGTG